CACGAGTGGGCTTGCAGTCATGACGTTCAAGGAGCAACCCCATGAGCGCCAACGGAGCAAAAGCATCAACGAATGATCCGCCGTCAGGGCGGCGAGGACGAAGAAGAGGGGACGGAGGACGAGAACGACGAGCAGGACGGGCACGACGAGGCAGACGGTCCAGTGACCGCCAGGAGAGGGAGAGATCATGACAGAGTGCGCATCCCCCAGCGAGAGAGCTGATGCGATGGCTGCGAGGTGGACGAAGATCACGGGGTCGAGACATTATGACCATGGTTTAGAGCGGGGACGGGGTCGGCGCGACGAGGGGGCGACGCTGACGACCGCGAGAGGGCGACTGTCTTTATCGGAGAAAGGGTGGCAAGCCCCACCGTGAGAAGAGGGTCGCGCAACACGCAATTTAAAGTTCTTCGCCGTGGTCAAAGCTTCATAGATTCCTTGCGTGCCTTTACGGCCTCTGCGCCGTCTGAGGTCCTTTTGGAAGCTTCTGGGGCGTTCTGGGGGGGGGCCGCGTGCACCAAATCCGAATCCATCAGCAGGTTCGGAAGAATCGCTGATTTGTACATTTCGCGGCCCTCTTGGTCGCTTCGTGGCCGCTGGACAATGGCGATGACTAGCGTCCTCTTGTTTTGGATGTGGTTTGGATGTTGCTTGGACGCTTCAAGGGAGGATATGAGGTTTGAGTAGGCTTTAAGGGGCCTTGGCATTCACGGCGCCGACTAGCCTACAGCTGGCCGGTTACGATGGGGGGGACATTGAAGACGATGACGAACAAGGAGGCGGAGCTGAAGATGCAGCGCAGGAAGCGAATGAGGAGGACGAGCAGCAGCCGACTGATGCACGATCGTTTTGGAGGTTGTCCTGGGCGTTTTTTTAACGCTTGTTTAAAGAAAGGGGGAATCTGACTTGGGGGGCTTCAAGGGTCCTCGGCGTTCACGGCGACGACTGGTTTAGAGCTGGCCGAAGCGAGTAGAAACCCGCTGTCTCGGGGGACAAAGCGGCGGCCGCCCAATGAAGCGGGGACGCAGACGTGCCCGAGAGGGGGGTCGTGGTCACGCCGCCGGGGCCGTCGTGCTGCCACGGCGGCACACCCCTGACCTGGATCGTGAGTTCGGGGCGTCTCGGGTGCCCGTCGGGGCCTCTCGGCGCGCTTGTGCGAAGCCTCTGGAAGCCCCGCATGGCTGGTGGATCAGGGGCCTCTGGCAGCGGTTCCTGGGAACGCCGCGCAGGATGTAGACGCGAGACCTCCCATCAATTTTCTGGGGGAGGCCTATCGGGAAGTTGTCTGGGAACCTGTTGTAAGCATTCTGGAGTATCTGGGGCCTCTTGGGCCTTTTTGGGTGTCCTTTTTGGGATCCGGTTGGGCCAGCTGGGAGCCCTTTTGGACGGTCCGGTCTTGGGGCCCTCTTGGGGGCATGTTGGGTCAACCTGGGGCGATCTCGGGGGCATTTGGGGTCGCATTGGACGCTGTTAGAAGAACCGAAACAGAGACTTTACATGTCCCGAAGGGATGCGACGATTTGCGCTTTTCGGGGCCGTCTTGACGGCCGTCGTGGCCGTCTAGAATCAGGAGGGAAAAAAGACACAGACACAATTCATCGTCGATTCCCCAGAAAATATGGGAAAATATGGGAAGTGGGGGGGAAGACAAAAACCCAGAAAATATGGGAAATATGGGGAATATTTTAATTTGTGTGTATTTATTTGTGTGTCCCAGGGCCCCTTCATAGAAGCCGTCTTGGACTCGTTTGGAGAGCTTGTGGTCCATTCTGGAAGTATTTTAGGGCGCCCTGGGAGCCTCTGGGGCCAGCTTGGGGGCCTCTTGGGCCGGCGTGGGAGGCGTTGTCGGTCGGCTGTCCGGGAGTTCTTCCGACAGGTGCAAGGGGGTTGGAGAGTACCGTCCCACCAAAGATATCAGGGGTCGGCCATCCAGGAGGATTGTTTTCCATGGGCGACGTATAGTTATAATGATACGTGAATGGGTATGTACATATATGTATGTGTTTAGTCATGTATGTGTAAACGTATTTACTTGCCTGCATTCATGCCTGCATGCATGCATACATGCATACACATGTACATCTACACGTACGTATAAACATGCTGACATGCATGCATGCATGCAATATTATATATATATATATATATATATATATATATATATACATGCATGCATATGCTTAGAGCCGAATACATAAATTTGTGTACATACAACCATGCATACACACATGCAAACATGCATGCATGCATACATGCATGCATGCATGCATGCATACAGGTATACATACATACAAAATGCATGCATGCATACATACAGACATGCATATACCTACAATTACATCATACATGTAGTTGTGTATCAGAGACGCCTTCGCCAAGTCACTCGAGGACAGCGTGTTCCACCATCTGTTGGGGAAGCCACCGGGGCGAACACTGGGCAGGGACCGCGTTGGGACCATAGTGAAATGATTGTCTCGCACGTTGGGCCTTCTTGGAGGCCGCCTGGGGCCACCTTGGGACCCCCTGGGACCGTCTTAGAGCGCGCTTGGGCCATCTGCGACTTCGGAGGCCGCCTTGACCCGTCGACGGACCCCGTGTTCCCAAACGCATCGCGTACGAATGAGGGCATGACGTTGGCCACCCAGCCTGGGCCGCAGCTGATACGAGGTCCGAAGACGGCGGACACGCCGCTGAACATGCGAGCTGGCAAGGTCTGGCCACCGACCTGCTCCATCCCGTCGTTGCCGGTGCGTTGCCGATGCGTCGGCGATGCGTCGCGACTATCCGGCCCCCTCCTCCTCCTCCTCCTCCTCCTCCTCCTCCTCCTTCCTCCTTCTCCTCCTCCTCCTCCTCCTCCTCCTCGTCCTCCTCCTCCTCCTCCTCCTCCTCCTCCTCCTCCTCCTCCTCCTCCTCCTCCTCCTCCTCCTCCCTCCTCCTCATCCTCCTTCCTCCTTCCTCCTTCTCCTCTACAGCCCCGCTCTCGGAGGCCTCCAGAAGAGGAGGCTTCGAAGGGGCTTCGGCCGTCCCCTGCAGAGGTCCGCCCCCGGGCCTGTCCGCGGGCGCACGCCAGCCAGGAGTGTTTGTCGGGCGGACCCCCGGCCGTGGCAGCGCGGGCGCCCCCAGGAGGCCTCGAAGTGTAGGACCGCAGGTGGCAGCTTCAACCCTCGAGGAGGAGGAGGAGGAAGGAGGGAGGAGGAGGAAGGAGGGAGGAAGGAGGGAGGAAGGACGAGGAGGAGGAGGAGGAGGAGGAGGAGGAGGAAGCAGGAGGAGGAGGAGGAGTGGAGGAGGAGGGAAGGAGGAAAGGAGAGGAGGAGGGAGGAGGAGGAGGAGAGGAGGAGGAGGAGGAGGGAGGAGGGAGGAGGAGAGGAGAGGAGGAGGAGAAGGAGAGGAGGAAGGAGGGAAGAGGAGGTAGGAGAAAGAGGAGGAGGAGGAGGAGGAGGAGGAGGTGGAGAGGGTAAGGGGGAGGCGGGAGGGGGAGGGAGAGGGGAGGAGAGAAGGAGAGGGGGGAAAGGAAGTGGAGGAGGGGGGGTGGGGGAAACGGGGAGGGTGGGAATGAGGAGGGTGAGGTCGAATGCCCAAAAGCTTTCATCCACAAGCTGTCGGAGGTCCGCGCGGGCTTCCTGGTTCGGCGCTGGGCCCTGCTGACGGCGCCTCCTTGGCGCGCTTCACGTGCCAGGGAGCCGGGGCAAGCGCCGACCGAAGAGTGCCGCGTATGTCTGCCAGAGCGGGAGGACGAGGGGCAGCGGCAGGATGAGGAGAGAGGAGGAGGAGGAGGAGGAGGAGAGGAGGAGGAGGAGGAGGGGAGGAGGGGGGGAGGGGGAGGGGGAGTGATGGGGGGAGGGGGAGGGTGAGGGAGGGGGGGAGGAGGGGAGAGGAGGAGGAGAGGAGGAGGAGGAGGGAGGAGGGAGAGGGCAAGGGGGGCGAGGGCCAGAGGAGGAGGAGGAGGAGGAGGAGGAGGAGGAGGAGGGGAAAGAGAAAAAGAAAGTGAAAGAGACAGAGAAAGAGACAGAGGAAGAGAAAGAGAACGAGAAAGAGAAAGAAAAAGAGAAAGAGAAAGAAAAAGAGGATGAGGGGGTGGCTAAGCAGATCCTGGCCTCCCACCAGCCAGTCAGCGGCCGTTGGGGGTGGGCGCTGAGCAGGTCGGCGGAAGACGGCGGCGAGAGAACGCCGAGGAGGAGAAGCCCATGCCCACTGGGGGTGCATCCTACAGCTGACGCGGCTGCGTGAGTCGTCGCCGCCCTCGGGGGTCGTTCGCCATTCCTGTGCGGACAGGTTGCCAAGAGCCCACGGCCCCGACCAGGGCACGTGGCGTGACTCCAAGAAGTCGTGAAGATAAACGTTGAAGAGGACACGCCGCGGGCAGAGATTTCGGAGCACCACCCCGCGCAGGGAGATGAGGAGAAGAGGAGGAGGAGGAGGAGGAGGAGGAGGAGGAGCAGCAGCAGCAGGGAGGAGGAGGGAGGGAGGAGGGGGAGGGGAAGGGGGAGGGAGTGCGAGCAGGAAGGCGAAGCGAAGCACGACGACGGGCTGCGGCGACGGCGGCGACGAGCGCCCTAGGTCCGCGGAGCGCTGGGCGCGGCTCGGCCTGGTGCAAGACGACAGCTCGAGGGTGGGCCGGATCCGCACTGGCCAGGCGGCGGCGTCGCACCGCCGCCTCGTCATCTCCTCTCTCCTCCTCCTCCTCGTCCTGCCCCCTCCCTCCATTCTCTCCCTCCTCGTTCTCTCCCTCCTCCTCCACCTCCTCATCCTCCTCCTCCTCCTCCTCCTCCTCCTCCTCCTGCTTCTCCTTCGGCTCCTCCTCCACTCCTCCTCCTCCTCCTAGCTTCTCCGTAGCCATTTTGGCTCAAGTTCCCAACGTCGCGCTCCCGCGCTGGGAGCTTGTGTGCAGCCAAGGGAGCGGCTCGAGGCTCCCTACTTCCCGCCCCACAGGGGGGCACATTCACGCACGCCTGCGTCAGCCTGCCCAGGCGTCGCAGGCTTCTTTCCGAAGCACGCCTGAGGAGTGGACTGCAGTGGCATGGCAGGCGATGGGCCCCCGAAGCTCAGTCGCCATGCGCAGCGGCGCCGCGAGCAGGCCAAGGACTGGTGCTGCAAGTACTGCATCCACCCGATCTCGCAGAACCAGTGGTGGAATCGGTCCGACACGGTGTCGTGCACCAAGTGCGGGTCGGCCAAGGCCGTGGCATTCATGTGTGTTCGCCCGCCGCCTGGACCGTCCACCAAGCGTGCCAAGCCGCCAGCTGCGAACTCAGGCAGCGGCTCTGCTGCGGTGCCGCCGTGGGTTAACGACAAGCTGGAGGCCCTGGCAAAGGAGTTGGCCAGCACCAAGGCCAAGCTGGCTGAGACCACCAGCAAGCAGCACGCGCCGTCCATGGAGGTCGACGAGGGCGCAGAGCACTGTGAGGGCCAGGGTGACTCCTTGGACCAGAAGAGGGCGCGCCTTGAGGAGGTCGACGCTGCGCTGCGGGCCATCGCCGGCTCCAGCGAGGTCCTGTTCGAGACGGCTCGGGTCGAGCTGGAGGACACTCGTAAGAAGCTCAGCGCGGAGCTGGCAGCTGCGAAGCCCGTCCCAGCGCAGCTGCGCACCCTGTCCTTCAAGCTGGGCAAGCTCGAGCAGAAGCGCGCCAAGCAGAAGGAGGCCCTGCAGGCAGCCAAGGACAAGGTCGTGCAGGCCAACAAGGAGGTGGATGAGGCCACGCAGCAGCTCGCCGAGTCCGACGCGGCGATCTTGGAGCTCCAGCAGGAGCAGACGCGGCTCGCCGCCACGCTCCCTCGTCCACCAGCTGGAGGCGTCTCGCCAAAGGCTGACATCGTCGAGGGGCTCGGCGTCACCATCGAGAAGCTGGGCGCGATGTTGGCGGAGCTCGGCGACAGCGGGGTGCTCGCGGAGAAGCTTGGCACGGTGCTGGGCGAGGTCCGTGAGTACGAGCAGCGTAAGGTCGAGGCCGCAGCGCAGGAGGCCAAGGCTGCGGCCGAGGCAAGGGCGACCCAGGCCAAGGCTGAGCCTGTGCCCAGCCAGGGCGCCAAGGGGTCGGAGGCAGGCCCAGACCTCCCAGACCCCGACACGGCGACCGAGGAGGAGCTGCGCGAGTTCCTCTCCAGCTCGGGCGTGGACCCGTCCCAGGAGTGCGAGGAGCTCCGCGGCCAGGTGCGCAAGATCACCGACGCGCTGGGCGGCTGGCGCGAGGTCAAGAGGGCCAAGGTGCTGTCTGCTGCCTAGCCTGCTGCGCGCGCTGCTGCTCCTGGCGCTCCTGCCGCTGGCAAGGGCATCTGGCACCATCGGCACGGTTGCTGGAGGGCTGGATGCCAATCCGCTGTTCGGGCAAGCGTCGGCGGCGGCAGGCTCCAGCCGCTCTCCCGCGGCCCTGGCCGAGGCCAGCGCTGCCCGCAGCATGCGGAGGGCCCAGCTGCTGGAGCGCGTTGGAGCGCGCGAGCAGGCCTTGACTAAGGCGAGAGCGCGCCAGCGCCGAGGCAAGGCCTCCAGCAAGGTCGGCCTGTCTGCGGCCGATCGAGACGTACTGCTTCCTCGACGAGCAGGGCAGGGGCCTGCTGCTGCCTCTGGCTCCCAGGCGGCTTGCTCTGCGGTCGGATCTGTCGGGCTTCAGGTTGGGAATACTGGCCGAGGTGATGACGGGGAAGACCGCGGAGGCCGTCTGGGCGGCAACGACTACGGGGAGGTTTGCTCAGGCATCGGATCTGCTGGGCACTGGCTTCGCACCGAGGCTCTCGGCAGTGCAGCGGGAGACCGCAGCATAGCAGCGGGAGACCGCAGCGAGCCACCGTTTGGGAATACTGGCCGAGGTGATGACGAGGAAGACCGCGGAGGCCGTCTGGGCGGCAACGACTACGGGGAGGTTTGCTCAGGCATCGGATCTGCTGGGCTTCCAGCTGGGACGACTGGCGGAGGTGATGGCAAGGATGACGCTTGGGGCCGCCCATTCCCCTTTTCTCACACAGGTGCAGATGAAGATGGTAATCATGTTCCTGACCGCAAGGGTTCTATTGTGACTTTCAATTGCTCTGAGGAGGGCCAGCTATTGCGCTTCCTTGACTCCTGCGAGCACACTGTGGTGGCTATACAAGAGCACCACGTCGCAGAGGATCGTCTTCCAGATCTGCAGCATCGAGCTCTGGACCCTGGCTGGCATGGAGTCTGGAGCTCGGCCACCAAGACGGGCAACCAGGAGGGCACTCAGGCGGGCCTGGCCATCCTGGCGAAGGGAGACGTGCTGGTCACGGCCCCCCCAGGGCGCTCGACGCCCCACATGGCGAATGGGAGAGCGCTGGCAGCCCACGTCCATTGGGGGGTGCCTGGAGGATTCATTGTGATTTCAACATATCTTTATGTGAATGAAGGCCTCTCTGATAATAACGTTCGCATCTTGGCAGAGATCTGTGAATACATTGAAGTTGTCAACGCGATGGGTCTTGATTGGATCGTCGCGGGAGACTTCAACCTGGAGCAGGCCGAGTTCGGAGACATGGAATGGTTGTATGGACTGGGAGGTGTGTTGACGCGCCCATCAGTTTCGACGTGCAGGCAGTCGTTGCCAGGCAGGACGATAGACTATTTCCTGATGACCACCAATCTGCTCCCCAGAACGTGCCGCCCGTATGTGCAGGAAAATGGAGACACATTCCCACACCTGCCAGTGGTATTACCTATCATGGGGAAGGATGTTGTTTTGAAGACTCGCACGTTGGTCAGCCCGAAGCGCCCTTCGAGACAGCCGAAGCCTGGGTGCTCTAGATACCCTTTGAACTGGTGCCAGGTCAATCGTATTATTGATCAAGCGATTGATAATCCCACATTGAGTGCAGCATGGGACGCAGTCTTGGCACAGTTGGAGATTGAGTTGCTTGCCAGATATGATATTGTCGGATCTCACACTGAGGCTTACCGAGGCAGAGGCGGAGACACCCAAATGCAGTACGCTAAGTTGCGGTGGGAGCCGCCTAGGCGCAGAGGTGAGCAGACAACACGAGACAGAGCTTGGAGAGCAGCAGGCCGATGGGCCCGCCATTTACGCCGCTACAAAGAGAGCCTTGTCAATCAGGCTGTGCTGCTATGCCATCAGGAGCGGGCGGGTACGATGTCCAGCAAGGCTTTCGACAAGTTTGCTCGTATGCTAGTGGACATCACCAAGTTCATGACAAGGATTCGCAACGATCCTTTACGCGACGCCTTGGATGATGACGCTCGGAACTTCTTCGACATGGACATCGGTTTCGTCACCAGTGGTCGTACGAATGACATGATTGAGAGCATCATCGGTCGAGCGGACGAGTGCCAGAAGCGCCAGAATGACACAGCCTTGGCGTGTTGGCGAGAGTGGGCGGCTTCGTCGTTCAAAGGTGGAGGTCGTTTCGCACACCGTCACACTCGAGGCCGTGCTCTTCAGGAAGTTTGTGCTGCCTGCCTGCTCCCTGGTTCGGAGGCGCAGCCATTCAAGATGGCGGACAGAGCTATGCGAGAGTGGGACGCCATATGGCACATGCATGATCTTCCTGAGCCAGTACCTCACGCATCTGATCAGTGGGACGACCTACCACATATATCCCTGGACGATATCAAGCGTGCGATCCTGCAGTTCCCCTGGACCACGGGCATCGGGCACTTCGAGTTCGCGCCCCGCGCGTTCTGGTTCGTTTCGGACGCCGGCCTGGAGTCGCTGGCGCGCTTGTTCATGCGATGTGAAAAGCTTCTGATTTGGCCGTCGTCTCGCATACTCACTCAGCTTGTGCGTATTCCGAAGTCCACAGGCGGCTGCAGGCTGATCGCCCTAATGCACACCCTCACTCGGATTTGGGGACGTGTTCGCCGTCCAACAGCGGTCGCCTGGGAGCGTGACCACGCGCATCCCACGGTGTGGGGGACAGGTCCAGGGCGATCGTCCAGTGACAGCGCCTTCTCTTTAAATTTAGCTTCGGAGATTGCGCATGAATTGCGAGAGGATTGTGTTACTGTTTTCATAGACATGGTGAAATGTTATGAATGTGTAGACCTCCAGGCCCTCTTGAGGGAGGCCAAGGCCACAGGGTTCCCGCTCCGTCTGGCCTGGATGGCCATCCAGAACTACACCCAGCCTAGAGCCCTTAGAGCCTTCGGTAGTTTGTCGTACTCGGTTTCCACGGCCCAAGGGATCTTAGCTGGGTGTTCTCTAGCCACCACTCTGCTCACGGTGCTTCTGTATAGAAGTTTGAACCTGTCGGTGGAGCGATTCCCATCTGTGGAACCCAGGGACCTGATGGATGACGTGAGTTTTAACTGGGTGGGCAAACGCCGCCAAGGCAAAGATCCAGGAGAGAGCTCACATGTGCTTGCGCAGGCGGTTCAGTCTTTCTGCCATGACATTGCCCCCCTCGGATTGCGTGTGCAGGCGAATAAGAGTGGGTTTGTGGCCAACACTTGTGCCGCCCGTGACACATTCGCACGGCACATTTCGCAGCTAGGTTTTCGCAGCAAGCACGGCATGCGTAATCTAGGGCACGAGATGCACGGAGTCAAGGTTCTGCGGGTCCAAGAGAAGGCCCGACTTCGAGTCTTGCAGTCCAAGAGGCGCAAAGTCTGGGGGCTCCGTCAGGCTCAACCTGAGGCCGTCAAGGCCCTTTGGCGAACGGGGCTCCTCCCAGCAGCCAGCCACGGAGGTGGCGTTAGCGGTGTGTCCGATGTTTCTCTCCGCGAGCTGCGTACGTTTGCGGGAGGGATGGTAGGAGCTAAGCCCAAGTCCTGCCTCACTACCTATCTATGCACGCAAAAGGACGATAGGTTCGACCCTGTGTTCGATGCTTCGGTTCCGCTTGTTGTGAGGTTTGCTACTTGTGTCTGGGAAGCCAGGGTCGTTCCTTCACGTCTTGCTCGAGCTTGGCTCGCGATCAAAGACAGAATTCAGCACAATCCAGCGTGGAAGTTTGCCAGGGGTCCTATTTCTTCGGTTTGGTATACGCTCCTTCGGATAGGTTGGTCAATGTCAGGACCCACCACCTTAGTGAGCGACGAGGGCTGGCCCATCGACCTGCTCCGTGTATGTCCTCAGGACGCGCGCATTTTTCTGGAGCAGGGAATTCGAAGATGGCAGGTTGCGAGGGTCCTGGCCCATTTCCCCGACAACCAGGGGCACACTGTTTGGCGTCGTGCGCTTCGGAAATCAGTGCTTGCTCTCCGTGATGGGGGCCGTCGTGGGGCGCTGCGGTCCTTGTGGGCTGCGGGGGTCTGGACTCCTGAGCGCCTCCATTCGATTAATTTGCGCCCGACGCCGTTGTGTTTTGTGTGTAAAGAGCAGGTCGGCACCGAGGCCCACCAGTGGTGGGGTTGCGATGGCATGCTTGAGCGTAGGCCTGAAGAAGCTTTGCCCGACGACGTTTTGGAGCACCGTGCCAGCTTGGTCAAGAGCTACCAGACAGACAATGGCAAGGAGGCTTTCTTTTTAAATTATGGGCTGCCGCCCTTGCCGCCCTTTCCAGAGCCAGTCGCCGACTCGCTTCCGACGATGGGGTGGGGTGACTGGCGGGGAGCTTGGGGGCCGAGGGTGTACACGGACGGGTCAGGCCTGGCGAATTCGATGGAAGGCCTGACGCGCTGCGGCTGGGCCGTGGTTCAACTTGATGAGTCAGGCTGTGTTGTTAGAGCGATCTACGGCCCGCTTCCTGGCAGGCTTCAGACCGTCCCTAGGGCGGAGCATTATGCCGCCCTGCGAGCCATCCAGATCGCAGCGCGCCCAGCTGAGATTGTGTCTGATCATCTCAGTTTGGTGAAGACAGGCCAGCAGCTCTCTTCTTTGTGTGAATCTGGTGCTTCTCGTCAGGCGTTTATCTGGAGGCAGATAAGGCACGATGTTGGACAGTCGGAGCCTCCCCTCTTTCGCTGGACGAGCGCCCATCGTTCCCTGGACGACGTGCTGCCCCTAGGGGCGGCCGAAGTTTTTGACTTTGTCGGAAACGAATGGGCCGATTATTTTGCTAAGTTGGGCTCGCAGTCCCATGCTGTGGCGCAGGTCCTAGTTGATGTGCACAAATCCAGATTGCAGGTCGCTCGTAAGGACGGTGAGGCCTTCGCCTGGATGGTCCAGGCGGCCGCGCGAAAGGCGGAGCAGCTGCAGCCAGCTGCCGGCGCCCCAGCGCCCCGCAAGGCCCCCCCCGCTCTTTCGCTTGCTGTCACATCCCACACGATGATGTTCAGTAAAGCTATTTCTGAGTACAGGTGTTTGTTGTGCAACCGTTTCGCTCGCACCACCCTGTCATATCGTTTCTTGCGTAACTCGGCTTGCGCTCCCTCGGCCCTTCAGCGGGCCACGGCTGAGCGTTTCTTCAGGTTGACCCCCCAGCACTACGTGTCAGACTCGACACCGTCGGTGCAGGTGGCGGTCGAGGCCGCAGGAGGCCCGATTCATGAGGAGGAAGGGGGTGTGCTGCCTGCCGCTGCTGATGCTGACGGGGTGGTGGAGGTGTGCACTTCTCTCGGACATCCCGCCGAACGATTCGGCCCCGCCATTATTTGTTTGGCTTGCGGGGCCTTTTCGATTAACGGTGGTCGCAATCCGAAACTCACGGCGAAGGCCTGTAGAGGCCATTCTCCCGTGGCCTCAACGCGGGCCAACGAGGAGAGCAATATTTCTAGGGTCCTCAGGGGCCTGCATCCCCGATCGGGCGAACCCTTATCGTTCGATTGATGCGTGTGCTATGCCTCGCCACTCTCAGCCCACTTCTTTTCAGCTGAGTTGGTGGCCGAGCCTCGGCACATAAGAGCTGGGCACGGGTGGCCATGTCCCACCTGCCTGGCTTCTCATGCTCCTGCTGGGGGGTGTCAGTGACCCTGACACTTCTTTCATCGCTGCCTGCCTCCTCCTGCTTCTCCTCCTGCTCCTCCTCCTCCTCCTCACCCTTCCTCCCCCGCCTCCTCGCCCCTCCTCATCATCACCCTCCCCCGCACCCTCCTCTTCGCTCCTCCTTCCCCTCCCGCACCCTTCCCTCCACCTCCGCCTTGTCGACGCCGATGTAGACGACAACAATAACGGCGACGGCGCCAACGACGACGACGACGACGACGACGACGACGACGACGACGACGAAGACGACGACGGCGGCGGCGGCGGCGGCGGCGACGACGACGACGACGACGGCTCAGACATCCAGCGTCTTGGGCAGAGGTTTTCGGCTGTTTTCGGCCTCTGGGCGGGCCTCGCTGGGCCCTGGGGCCGTCGAAGAGCGGCTCCGGGTGACAGGCTAGCCCTGGAGAACGGGTACAGGGTCGGGACCTCTGGGGACCCCATGGCAAACAAAACAAGTGCCTCGGAGGTCTGCAGACGAGGCTGCTGACGATGCTGGGGCCTCTTCGGAGGCAGACGGCTCGATGGCGGGGCGGATCCGCGCTAGCCAGGCGACGGCAACGGACAGCGGCGGCGCACGATCACGGCGGCGCCGCCGCGACCACGCTGGGCGGTCCGGAGAGGGCGTCGCCCGCGGCGCACCGCGCCCCTGCGGCAGATGCCGGCAGACGTCGAGCCACGGCGAGCCCACCGGCGGAGGGTCGGAAGTGGAGGCGAGGCGCCAGCATTCGCCGCGGAGGAAGGGGCCCCGAGGGAAGCGCGGAGCAAAGCCTTTTGGCCCTTCTCCCCCATCCACTGTTCCGAAAGCTCTTGTTGTGTTGTTGCTTCTCTCTTTCTATCTCTATCTCTCTCTCTCTCTCTCTCTCTCTCTTTCTCTCCATCTCTCTCTTTCTCTCTCTCTCTGCATATGTGTATATATGTGGCACCTATATAAATATACATGTATATGCATACATACATCCATGTATACATACACATACATACATACATGCATACATACATACATACATACATACATGCATACATACATACATACCTGCATGCATACATATATACATACATACATACATACATACATACATATATACATACCTACATACATACATACATACATACATACATACATACATACATACATACATGCATACAAGCATACATATATTCATACATTCATACATGCATGCATACATACATACATACATGCATATATACATACGTACATACATACATACATACATACATACATACATACATACGTACGTACGTACGTGCATACATACATACATACATACATACGTACATAGATACATAGATACACCGATACATATATAACTATATGTACATATATACATACATAATTACATGAATACATACACACATATATACATACATACATACATACATACATACATACATACATACATACATACATACATACATATATACATGCATGCATACATACATACTTACATGCATACATACATATATACATAGTTATACATACATGCATACATACATGCATGCATGCATACATACATACAGACAGACAGACAGACCCGCGCAAGAGGCCCGGGCGCCCGGGGGGCCGCGACCTGGGGCGCGCATGAGGGGACCGGGGCCTCCAAGACCGCTCCCAGAGCACCCCGGAGGGGCCGTAGAGCCCCCAGATTGTCCCAGAGAGCACGAAGACGCTCCCAGAAGCCCCCGGGTGACTTCGACAAGCCCCTCCAAGACAGCCCAGATAGCCCCAACGTGGCCCCAGATGGACTCCAGACCGCAAATACACAGCCCAAGAGGCCTCCAAGAGGCCTCAAGAGACCTCCGAGAGGCGTCCCGAGAGAGCCCGAAGAGGCCCAAATCCTTGATTTCCATTCGTTTTTTCAATGTTTTTCGGTGTCTCGCGTTTTCGACCTTCCGACGCTCCACGGCAGCCGACGACGCCTCCAAGACCGCCGAAGAGGCCCCCAACAGAGCCCCAAGACGGCCCCAGGGAGCCCGAAAATTGCCCGGGACGAGCCTCAGACGGCCCAAGAGAGCCCCAGGACAGGCCCAAGCTGGGCCCCAGAGCGGGAGCGGGAGGCCCCAAGGCGCTCCAAGACGGCCCTGATGGCCCCAGCGTGGCCCCAGATGAGCCCAACACGGCCAATACGCAGCCCAAAAGCCCTCCGAGAGGCGTCCCGAGAGAGCCCGAAGAGGCCCATATCCTTGAGTGTCGGTCGTTTTCTTCAACGTGTTTCGCTTTCTCGCGTTCTCGAGCTTCCAAGGCCCCAAGACGGCCGAAGACGCCCCGAAGATCGCCCCAAGACCGCCGAAGAGGCTCCGAAAAGAGCCGCAAGACGGCCCAGGAGAGTCTGAAGACTGCCCAAGAGCAGCTCGAGACTGCTCAAGAGAATCCCAGGAGAGGCACAAGATGGGCCCCAGAGCGGGAGCGGGAGGCCCCAAGGAGCTCCAGGACGGCCCAGATGATCCCGCCGTGGCCCAAGAGGAGCTCAAGACGGCAAACACACAGCCCAAGAGGCCTCCAAGAGGGCTCAAGAGAGCTCCGAGAGACGTCCCGAGAGAGCCCAACGAGGCCCCAATCATTGATATGCACTGGTTTGTTCGATGTTTTTCGCTTTCTCGCGTTCTCGAGCTTCCAATGCTCGACGACGGCAGAAGACGCCCCCAAGACAGCCCCAAGACCGCCGAAGAAGCACACAAAAGACCCCCAAGACGGCCCTAGGGAGCCCGAAAATTGCCCAGGAGGAGCCCAAGACAGACCCAGAACAGGCCCAAGCTGGGCCTCAGAGCGGGAGCGGGAGACCCCAAGGCGCTCCAAGACGGCCCAGATGGCCCAGGCCTCCCCCCTCCGTCCCTCCTTCCCTCCCGACCCCTCCCCTTGTCTCCATTCCCTCCTCTCTCCTCTTCTTCACCTCACCCCTCAGCTTGGCCCCGCCAGAGCGCCAGACAGGCCCCGCCAGAGCGAGCGGGGCATCGCTGTACCCTATCATTTCACAAGTTGCTTTCCCCCTCCCACCCCTCAAGAGCGGCCCCGGCAGAGGGAGAGCGTTCTGACTACGCGCTTCTTTGCGTCGATGGCATGGGCCCCCAAACGCTGGAAATCGTCGTTGTGACCACAGCCGGGCTTACAGCGGCACCCGGGGCCCATCTGCGATTGGAACCTGAGCGCGCGCGTGTAGCGCGCGCGTGGTTCTAGCTCACACGTTTAACGTGTTCTCTGTTTTGCACACATGCCCGGGCGGGGGGGGCGGCTGCGCCGGAGGCCTTCCGCCCTGGATCGCCCACGCACCGCGTCTGCTCCGTCGACGGCGGTTTCTTTGGCCTGCTGGACGCGCTGGCCGAGGGCATGGAAGGCCACGGCGCCGCTCCCGCCGGCGCGCACGGAGGGGGGCCACGGTCAGGAGCTCTGGGCTCCACGTGTCGCGCCGCCAGCTCCGGCCCCCCACGCTTCGGCGCGACCCGCCACGCCTCGCTCCCACCTCTCGGGCGTCGACGTCCCGAGCTGTTCCCCGCCGCCCGCCCCACGGAGCGGAGCGACGCCGCCATCCGCTGGCAGGGCACACAGCGTGTCGCCGGGGCCGCCGCCGCGACACGCTGAGCCAAAGTTCCCGACCGGAGGAGGAAGAGGAGGGGTTTCACAGTGCACGCTACGCTGGGCCACTTCGATACTCTAAGATAAGAGGAGTGTATGGTTCGACGAAGCGTACCGTGTCCAAATGCCGCGCGCAAAGCCGTCGAAGCATCACAAAGGTGTATTGCCATCGTCACCCTTCCCGCCGTGAAACCTCTCGTACATGTTTCGAGGCTTCCCAAGGGCGTCCCGAAGGAAATGAGACTTCCGTTCCGCAGGTTCCTATACGCCTGCCACCACACAAGGCCTGATTCGAGAATGCGAGGCAAAGTTCACCTCGCGGCGCCATCTCCTGAACGCCATTACATATATTCCTTTGACGCCGCTGTCTCCGATCCTTTCCATATCATTGGACCGTTCTATTTTCAAGGGTGGGCTATCAGAAGAGGAGAGGAGGTGGGAGGAAGGACGACTGGAGACCACAGCGCTCTATCCAAAACGAGAACCCAACGCAGGAGAGGACAAGAAACACAACGGAATGTTGCTTGTTATTGAATCGCTTCGCTCATTCCGCCGGCCCATACGGTCTCATGTCTGCCGTTTGCCCGAGGGCCTGGTGTCAATGCGGCGCTTTGGGGGTTCCTGGGGCCGCTTGGGGGACTCCTGGGGCGCTCGGGGGGGCATTTGGGGGGCCTCCTGGGGCCGCTTGGGGGACTCTTGGGGGCCTCCTGAGGGCCTCGTGGGGGCCTCTTGGGGCCTCTTAGGGGCCTCTTGGGGCCTCGTAGGGGCTTCTTAGGGCCGAGGGCGCGAAATTTTGTTTCGTGTTCCCTCTCTGGGGCCCCTTTGGGGGTGTTCTTGGGGCCCTCTTGGACCGTCTTGGAGGCTTCTTGGGCCGTCTTCGAGCCCTCTTGGGCCATCTTGGGGCCCTCTTGGGGGCCTCTTGGGCCCTCTTGGGGCGATCTTGGGGGCCTCTGGGGCCGTCTTGGGGCGTCGGGAACCGAAAAGGTGGAAGCTCCAAAATCTCTCAAAAACCTAAGGAAAAACAATGAATTTTGCCTCCGGGGGCCCTCTTGGGAGTGCTCTGGGAGGCCTCTTGGGGCGTCTGGGGGCTATCTTGGGCGTCTTGGAGCGATCTTGTGGCATGTCGGACCCCTCGTGTACCATCTTGGGGGCCTCTTGGGGGCCTCTTGGCCTTTCTTGGGGCTCTCGGGGACGTCTCGGAGCCCTGTTGGTGCGCTCATGGAGCGCTCCTGGAGCGCTCTGGGGGACTCCTCCCGGGACTCTCTCAGGACCTTGCCGGGGTACTTTTCGTCCGGGGACCCCCAGGGGCCGCCCCGCGCGCGCGAACTAGAGAATTCTTAACCAGTTACCGGAGATCTTAGCACGCCTCTGGCCCGTTGGGCCGGCGAATTTTCTGCCTCTGGGGATCTTCGCTGGGCCCCGTGACCGTCAAAACGAAAACTCAGGATGGCATGACGAGCTGGTCTTGGGGAATAGGTCCAGGCTTTTGGGGGTCCGCGTCGTGCGAGAATCGCGGCGTCGGGGGTCTGGGGACGCCGCAGCCCGTCCGCGGCGCGGGCCTTCTGGGCTTCGACCCGTCCTCCGCCGGGGACAGCTTCTCTCAGGAGGAAAAAAACACAGAGGCACAGTGAATCGTCGCTTCCCTCGAAACTGTTGGAAGATATGGGAGTAGAAGTAGGGGGAAGACGAACATCCAAAAATATGAAAATTAACACACACACACACACACACACACACACACACACAAACAAACAAACAAACAAACAAACAAACAAACAAACAAACAAACAAACAAACAAAAACAAACAAACAAACAAACAAACAAACAAACAAACAAACAAACAACAACAACAACAACAATAAACAATGATTTGTCGTTTCCCTCGAAGCTGTTGGAAAAGATGGGAGCAGAAGTAGGGGGGAAAACGAACATCCAAACGCATGGGGAAGAATATATGGGAATCCAGGGATCTGTGCGTATCCCTGGATACGGAGGGGATATGGGACATCTGGGAATCCAGGGATCTGTGTGTGTGTGCCTTTGTTTGTGTGCCCCTGCGCTCCTTCCTTCGCGCCCCGAGCCGTCTTCGGAGCGGCGGCCGCGGCAAGGGCGGGCAGCCCCCCAGGGGATGGGGGGGGGGCGCTCCGCGTACCCAGGGGCCCCGACTGCCCACGGCCGCGGCAAGGGCGGGCAGCCCCCCAGGGGATGGGGGGGGGGCGCTCCGCGTACCCAGGGGCCCCGACTGCCCACGCCTTCGACGAGGCCTCCCAAGCAGGGCCTCCTCCTCTCTCCTC